CGCGCGGCCGGGCCGCCCCGGCATCAACTTCGTCGCCGGCAGCGCCTGCGCCTGGACCTGCCCGCGCGGCGCCGGCGCCGCGCGCGCGGCCGCGGCGCGCGGAGCTCCGCCCGCCGCAGGCCGCCCGTCTACCCGAAGCGGCTCCGGCCCGCGGGCGGCGCGGTCTCCGCCCACGCGGCGGCCGTGACCGTCGTGCTGCTCGGGTTTCTCGTCATGAACCTGTGGTGGTACATGAACTACCTCCTCATCCCCGAGCGGCGGGAGGAGGTCTGGCCCTGGGCTTTCTGGTACCTCCTCAACCTGCCCTTCCTCTTCGGCTTCGGCGCCAAGCTCTGGTACCCGCTCTACGTGTCCACGGCGGGCCTGACCATGAACGAGGCGCTCTGCTTCGACGACACGGCGCCGCTCGTCGCGGCCGACGGCGGGCCGTGCGCGGCCTGGCCCGCGGCCGTCGCCGGAGCAGGGTGCTTCGACGTCGCTTCGAGCGCCGCGCGCGCGCGCTCCCGAACGAGCGTCCGCGCGTCGGGGGCGCTCCGAGCGACGATCGGTCGTCCCGCGATCGGCCGAAACGAGCGGAGGCCGGCCGAGATCGGCGCCCGTCCGCGCGCAGGTCCACGGTCATGTACGCGTGCCGCCAGTGCTGGTACGCGTGCCCCGCCGGCGCCCCGGGCGCCGCCGCCGCCGGACCGCGCGGCCGCGCCGCAGGTTCGGGACGTTGCTCCTTACCGTCGACTTCCGCATGCGCTTCATCCACGCGCGCCCGTCCGAGGAAATCGCCCGCGTCCTCCTGTACTACGGCTACCCGCCCTGCGTGCTCCTCGTGACGGTGGTCTTCGTCTGGCCCTTCCTCGCGAACGGCTCCGCGGGCTACGCGAACTCGCTCTGGAACTACGGCGACGTCGACTCGTGCGGCGGGCGCCAGTGGGAGGACGACCGCGGCGCGCTCCTCGTCGACGTCGCCTACATCACCGTCTGCCTCCTCTTCCTCATCATGGAGGAGCTCAGGCGCGACGTGCGCCTCTACCGCAGCATCAAGCGCGTCCGCGCCCGCGCGGCACTCGACCGCCGGCGCGGCGCGTCTCGGCCGCGCGTCGGCGACCGCGCGGCGCGCGTCGGGGCGCGCCGCCGGCGCGCGTCGACGGCGGGCGGACGCGCCGCGCCGCGCGCAGGTCCTCGCCCGCCCCGCCGTCGCGCCCTCGCCCACCGCGCTCGCCGCGCTCCGCGCCGCGCCGCGCGGAACTCAAATCTTCAACCCGACTTCAAGGTTCGCGCAATCGAAGGGTTTGGACCTGACGCTTTCGCTCTGCTTCGAGAACTCGACGAGAGCGATCGATTCGTCCAAAAATCAGCCGAATCGACTTCGATGTGGCCGAGCTAGAGAATTTCAAAGTTTGGTCGGGACGTCCCGGCTCACCGGTTGATTTCCACGCAGGCGCCGCGCGCGACCGCGACCTCAAGCTCCTCAACAAGATGCGGCCCTTCGTCATCCTCGGCTTCTGCTGGAGTCTCTTCTCCGTGTTATCCATCTACAGCGAGACCGAGAAGGTGGTCAACCGGAGCGCCTGGGACAGGGCAGCAAAAGAGAGCGAAATTCCCAACTTCAAAGGCTCCTATCTCGGCCGTTTTCCGCTCGTTTCGGCTGATTTTTGGACGAGCGATCATCTCTCGGAGCGCTCTCGAAGCGTGGACGCTTTTTTGCGGAACGCGCGCGCGCGGAACACTCACGTTGAAGCGACGTTGAATCTATCTTGTCCTGCCCAGGCCTGGGAGGCGAGCTTCGACGACTGGGGCGACTGCCTCCTCGCGCACTGGGCTCTGCCGAAAAAAGGCCAGAAGGACGCGTGCGGCGTCGTGCCGAAGCACCTCGAGCCCGGCGCGGCCTCGACGCTCGCGCGGCGCGGCGCGGATGCCGACCGCCGGTTCGGGGGGCGACCGCCGCGCTCCGGAACGCTCGAGCTCGGTCGCGGTCGATTCGGCCGACGTTCGGACGACTCGCGCGCGCTCGTCGAGCGCTCGACGCGCGGCCGAAGACGTCGGTCCACGCCGGTCGACGACGCGCACGTCGAAGATGTGGCATCCACGCAGGGGCAGCAGTTGTTCAGCATGCGGTGGACCGCCAACTTCGTGGTCGTGCCCCTCGTCATCGTCGCCGCCCGCGCGCGAATCACATCTCCAACTCGAATGCAACGTGAGCTTATTCGAATATTTCGACGCGAGCACTTCCGCCGTGCTTCGAGACCTCGATGAGAGCGATCGATCCGTCCAAAAATCAGCCGAATCGACTTCGATGCGACCGAGCGAGAGCATTTCAAAGTTTGGTCGGGACGTCCCGAACCAGCGGTCGATGCGCACGCAGAGCGCCGCGTGGTGGGTCCTCTACACGCACAACGCGTCCGTCAAGCTCTGGATCAAGCACTACCCGGCCATGGCGAAGGTGCTGCCGTCGCCGCACCGCAAGCGCGACCCCGTCGACCGCGTGTGCTCCGCCGCGACGTCGATGCTCGCGTCCGTCGACAGCTCGCTCGCGGACGTGCTCAAGGACACGGACCTCGCGTCGTCGGCCATCCCGGACACCATCGAGGAGGACACCAAGGGATGGTCGAATGGAGCCCTTCCAGAGCTCGCTTACGAGAGTGACCCGACCCGACCGTGACCGCAGGCCGCCGGGCCGACGCGCCGACGCGGCCGCGGCGACGCCCCCCCGCGCGGAAGACCCGCGCCCCCCACCGAGGCCCAAGCAGCCCAATCCCCCCCCGCCCCCGCCGCCCCCGACCCCTGTGCTCCTGTAACGCGCGCGTTTTCGCATCCGGCCTTCGTTTGACGTCATGTTGAAGATTACTCCACGGACCACACTCGAAGCATGCGCACGCTGGCGGTTGCCGGCCTCGCGCTCGGCGGCGCCTCCGCCTTCGTCGCCGCGCCGGCGCCGCGGGCGGCGACGCGCCCGCACCTCTTCGGCCTCGGCAAGCGAGACGCGCCGGCGCCGACGAACGCGGAGACGTTCAAGCCGAAGCTAGGGTCGCGCGTCGACGACGCCCTCGCGCGCGAGGTCACGCCGCAGAAGGGGCCGACCATCGACTTCTCCGGCGGCGGCGCCAAGATGGCGGCCTTCTACGGCGTGCTCG